GTCCCCTGTGGGGCACAGCCCAAGGATGTCCCCGACACGATTTTAGGGCATCCCTCACCTGGGGTTCTCGGCACGGAGAGCTCAGCAGCCCCTCGCTCCCCGGGCGCTGCAGCGGCGTCTCTGGGGCCGGGGAGCAGAGCTCTGCCGAGCAGCTGCCTGCCGGAAGGGACCGGTGCACTCCCAGCACCCGCTGTGCCCACGGACGTCCCTCCCCTCCAGCCACGTTTCCAGACAACCCTGGAGCAGGGGGGGTGAGCAGCGAGCGCCTGGGCAGGAAGCTGCCACGGTGGCACACGGGGAGGTGGACATCCCCCAGCCAAGCACTGAGGACCCGAGCAGAGCCAGGGCCCTGCTCTGACACGGATGTGGGTCACGGGGAACGAGCAAAGAGGGTTCCCACCACCCAGCCCCACCGGTACGTGTGGGTCACAGCTCGTGGGGCTCCCGTGGGGTCTCTGCCAGACCCAGGGTGGCCTCAATAAACCCAAAACAAGAAACTGCCGTAACCCACAGGGTGAAGACACTGCTGTAACCTCCTGAGGGGCCTCCTGAGCACAGAGGAGTCAGTGACAGCGGCCCCGGGAGCTGCTCTTCCCACTATGGGTCCCCGTGAAAGAGACGGGGTACCTCCCCAGACGAGCCCCTGTCTCTCCGGGAGCTCCCCTGTGTGATCCGTCGGACTTGCCGTGGACACGTGGCCAACTCCAGGCTGTGTGACACGGATCCTTTCCCGAGAGAGACTTCATCCATCCTCAACTGACCCCACTCCCGGGAGCAGCTTGAGGAACTGCGCCACGATGCTGCGAATGAAACGTGCCAATGCCCCAAAACGGGCATTACAGACGCCCACACCTGCGTTTACCCCACTGACAGTAACTCCCACTGAGAAATCCACGGAAACAAACCCTCCGCACCCCCGAGCGTTACAGTACCCTGCGAGCCCACCGGCACCTCCCTCACGCTCCCGCAGGCCGGGCAACCCTCGCAGCCTGCGACCGCTCCGACCCTTCCCACAAAGTGCCACCAGCCTCCTCTTCTGCCTCCTGAGCCGGAAAATCCGAGCTGCCAGGAAACGGGGCAGGCTCCAGCCTTCCTCTGTCAAACAGTAACCCGGGGAGAGGCTGAGAGCGGAACCCAGGGCAGCCGGCGGGGAGGAGAGGCGGCAGGCACGGATTTGGCCACTACGGATGGAGCTGGGGAGCGCCCTGGGAGCAGCCGGGGTCTGCACCGCGGGCGGCCACGGGAAGGGCTGCGGTGGCCTTGCACCCCCTCCTGTTTGTCTGCCCAGGGAGACGTTTGGGGAGCCTTAGCCCTGATGCTGGAGAGGGTCCAAACCCCAGGGCATGAGATAAGGCAGAGGGGAGGTCGGACAGGAGCGGCAGGACTGCTGGGGGGCCTCGGCGCCGTCAGGGTGGGGGGGGAGGCCTTCACT